AATAATAATAATAATAATAATAATAATAATAATTTAAAAAAATAATAATAATAATGATGATGATGATGATGACGATGATGATGATAATAATATCATAAACAACTCGTAACATTTTCTCGCAATACTAATTCTTCACTATTTAGGATGCCACTGGAATTTCGTTGGTTTCATTGACGATAAGAATGCACGACGAAAGATGAGAAAATGAAGAATGATTCATCGTTGAACATGCGCGTTAACAACATCAGATAGTTTAAAGTAAGGTGGACGTTTGGATCCCGACGTATTCCCTTACCTTCTCGTTCTGAACGCAATGGAACACAAAGATAAACAGCCCCTGCAGACTATTCAATATGGTGAAGATGTACGCCATGACGACTGATTCTTGGTTCAAGTAGAGAAGCCCGAAGGTCCATGTGAGTCCCAGTAGAAAGACCAGGACGATCGCCCCTCTCAGCCATGCCCTGATCAGAAAATACCAATCGATGAGTCACACTGAAGCCAACAATCTCAAGGATAAGATAATCGCGAGCGATGCTTAAAGGAACGTGAACGAGCTGTGTGAAGTTATCGGCATGAAAGGTGAACGGATAAAGTACAGAGTAACCAGAGAGACAGAGTAACCAGAGAGACAGAGAGAGAGAGAGAGAGAAATATAAGAAAAAAGAAATGGTAATGACGAAAGAGAACGAGAGAGGGAGGGGAAGGGGTGTGTGTGAAAGGAAACGATCTTTTTAGTCTCGTGCCATCGCAAGAATTAAGGGTAACGTGCTAAGTGATCGATGATGGTGTGACTTTAATTCTAATAATTCCAATGCTACATTTGTCACGTTCTTATCAAAATGGAGCGGCGAGAACACGGAAGATTATCAGGGGACGGTGTTATGCACCGAAGTGCACGCAAACATTTCGAGCTGCGCGATGCTAACGTGTACTACTAATGTTGTACTCGTTTCTACACGTGTGCACGTGTCTCCAACGAAGCATTAGCATCGTTAACGTTCTCGCGAAAGCGGCCGGCGTCCTATAAGCATCGCACACACTGTTACTGTTTCTTACTTCTTTCCTTCTTCTTCCTCGTATCGACGTTCCTACTATTTTTACGTTCTTTCTTTTTCTTTTCTTTTTCTCTTTCTTTTATCGATTTACTTGAAAATGATCAAGTTCTACGGATCTACGGGAGGATCGAGGGTACACGAACTACACAAGTAGGCAGGTGTTTATTACTTCTAATATCTCGCGCGTATTCACTAAGCTACTCTCAAATCAGGCGTTTACGCCCGAAACTAAAGGATAAATACGGCATGCGGTTTAAGTCGTCGTCTGTACTCAGAGGAAAGGCAAACGGCGTGACGTAACTAAGGAGTTCGGAGAATATCGATCGTCGTCACGTGTGCTCTCTGTCAAGCATTATCACGAATACACCTACGTAAGCTGTTGGTAATTGCAAATTGCTCAGGCTTGTTTCAACAAATACGAAAATAATATAACAATAATATATGGCAATAATGACATTTGCGATTCCAGTGAGTTGCACGGATCAATGATTTGCTTGATTAAACGAACAGCGTGACTTATTTCCCTCGCGGAACAGACTGCTACGTTCTACGTTCTACATTCGCAAGAAATGAAAAAACAAAAGAGAAGAAAGAAAAGTAGAAAATGAGGTGACGATCATCGTGTCAGTTGCTTCGAGTGGACAACGAAACGGTAACAAAGAGAGTACAGTGAACGTGTTAAATGAGAGAACGGTGAAATTAAAGGCACGGGAAACGACGATTAGTAATAGAATGATGTTATAGTGAATGAACGAGATGTGAGTACATAATAATAAAAATTGGTAAATATCTTACAAGTGCGCTTGCAATTTGTTGGGAAGAGCATTCTCTTCCTTTCCACTACCAACCAACCACGCCATGCAGAAGAATGTAGAACAGTGTAGACAGAAGTGGGTAGAAGATTTAATACAAAAATGAAACAAGACAGCAAAGTTAGGTGATTGTT